CATGTATCGAAATACGTGGTGGATTAGTAGAGGCTACTAGAATATGAGTTAGAATTAATTGTTGCACTGAATCGAAACATTTCAATAATTAATTATTAGTTACGTTTATTAAAATTTTTTGCTTCATTGTTAGTTGAATTGTGTGAATGTTATTCCGTTATTTTCATTAAAAATATTTACGCAATTTGTTTTTTTTTCATCTGTGACTGTTAGCTGTGTGAGTTTTCGAATTTTTGAGTTGTCATAGCTTCGTTAATAATGAATATTTTTTCATGAAATTTTGGTCACACCTGTTTAGAAGCACTCTGAATCCAGTGGCGTAGTGATTTTTTTCAACAAAAAAATCGCTAATAAAAAATACCGATTTTCGACTAAGAAAAAATATCGTAGTATGCCCTGAAACTTTAATTAACATTTCAAATTTTTTCCCAAGGTAGACCTTTCAGTAGTTGACATTAAAAACAAAATATCAAAATCGATTCACAACTTCAAATTTTAGGGGGGTGTTTCCATTAAAAATGGGTCACACTGTATATTTCAAACTGTTTCCATGATGACATAGGTATGAAAACAATTACAGGTTTCCTCAAAATTTCCAAAAATCTTCGTATTTGAATATTCCTGAAAGATAATTGAACAGTTGTACCAATCCTATAATTATCGATAACAATCAATTTCCACGTATTGAATTTTGTTGAAAATTCATCGTGGACAAAACATTGAAATTATTCGAAAAAAGTGTCAACCTTCATTAGTATTACATTCAAAATATTCCTCTTTCTTCCTTTTAAAATTCAAAAATGTTCATTTTGAGTCTTATACACTTACTATTTGGGGATCAGCCAATGAATTCACAATAAAACCTGTACAAAATGAAACTATTAAATGCATTAGATCACAAACAACAAGAGAACAAACAGAAATTTTGTTGTTTCATTCATTTAGTAACAAATGCATCAAAAATTTCAAACCTAATTTCCATATAAATCAATAATATTCATAGTCTGAACACAGGACAAATGAAATTATCCACAGTAAATAATTTCGAATCTAATTTCGGACAGAAATGAATTTATCATGATGGAATTATAATGAATAATACAATTCCTGGAGAAATAACAAATATGTAACGGCTCCCAAATTCAAAAATCATTCAAGAAAGTATTCGTTAAATTAAAATGGAAATACAGGGTTATATTTGATATGGATAATTTCACATATGACTGTTTGCTCATATTGATTATACTACTCGTGTATTTTTATTCAATTATTTGTAATTAAAAAAAATATTTCAGTTTTCAATGCCTATTAATAAACTTATGGTTCAATATCAATTACATGTGTTTTTTTGTTCAATATTTCATTATTTTGTTGAGATTGTGGCTTTACTTAATCCAGTTAATCCTCAGTAAAAAACAGTTAATGCTTCTTGGAATAATAAATACAATACAATTCAATTCAGAAATTATAATAGACATCAAATGCTACCTTCCATAATGATATGACATATTTGCATCCAGAATAAAAGTTTCTATCGACGTCCTTAATATTTATGTCTTGGGAAGAAAAAAATCTGTTCGGAGGTTAACGGAAACGTCGGTTGCTAATAGAATATTAATTATAACAAACTACCCTGGGCGGAATTTGACGTGGTTCGAGGGAAAACCAAGTTAAGAAGTTACCGTTAAAAGTTTCTTGACGAGGAAAAAATCTCGGAAAGAACGAAAAGTTAATGGGAAGCCACGTCAATGAAGACCTCCAGGAAAGACATAAGTCGTGTGCTGATTAATATTTGATGTTTCAATACTGAACATTACACAAATAACAGTGGTTCATACTTTTAGAATTTTTCAATTCTTAATTATATACCTAGATATTTTAGGGTGTGAAAAGTTTTGAAGACGAGCTTTTGGTTGAACTGCTTTGAATTTTTCAACAAGTTTGAAGAACGGATATTGAATTTTTGAAGAACCCCAATTTTCATACTATGATTGAAAGAATGATATTGATAATGAAATATTACCAACTGAATCAAATTTACGTTATTGCAAAATTGGTTCAGTTGGTTCATTGCATTGCGTTCATATTCTGAAAGATTTTTCCACACATGTTAGCAATATTCTCGAATATTTATTCGTCAAATTCAAAAGCAACCATATAAATGAAATGATATCATTTTTGATACAACTGAACGTTGTCAGTAGGATGAGCATTATCAGAAACAGCATGAGGGCTATGGAATATTTTTTTGGCTCATTAATGTTTTAATACATACGAGGTATGTTGAAAAAATAAGGTGAATTTTTTTTTCTGAGAATATTTATTTATTCATCAGTTTCTGTTTTGTCCCATTCGAAGTAGTCCTTCTAGTGGTCTATCTCAGTAGTCTTCCAGTCCTAGAAGTTGATATGTTTGGTATGTTTTCATCTCATAAATCGTCGCAAAAATGCCGTCCCCTCATGTCTCCTCAATATTGGAAATGGAAAACTATTACAGAGGGTCAAATTTGGTGGATACGGTGGCTGAAGCATGATCACGGTGTTGTTTTTTTTTGACAAAAAATCTTACCATCTGACCTAAAAGACCACTCACCATACAAACTAATCGGCTTCTTTGAGAAGCTGATAGAATGTACGAAGCCCGCAAAATTCGAATATTCACTTCATTTTTTCAACAAACCTTGTACTAGTAATATGGTCTTGGCAATACAACGATTCTGGGTTGACATGGCAATTCTGGTCTCCATAGATTTTGAGCCACAGTGAATATGGAATTCCTCAACACCAAGTTTTTCCCAGTTGACTCGCACATGAGTGAGACTGACACTGTATGTTAATTCGAGGCAGTCATTCAACTATCCAATCCATCAGCATCAATAGCATTTGAGAGAATCTAATTGTAATGTAAGGTCTGGTATTGCTGGTATTTCAATGGCCACAAAATAAATAACCAAGAAAGGAATTTCTGGCAAAAACATAACAATCTGCACTGATAGCAGACAAGCCCTATTAGCCTTGAACATACAACGTGTTACCTCAGGACTAGTACTAGAGTGCCACCAAGATTTAGCCAAAGCCTCGGTAAATACTGACATTATCCTGAAATGTATTAAAGGGCATTGCCGAGTCTTTAGCAAGGAAGCGGCTGGACTAAGAATTTCAGGACCCAGTGACACCTATGGCCTGATGACTTCGACCATTGCGGAATTAGCCAAATGTCACACTCATGCTCAATCCCTAAAGAGATGGGATGGAATCAAAGGATGCTGTCTTGCCAGGATCACCCTAGACGACCCTGGGAATCTGGCGCTGAAGAAATATCTGGAAATGACCAGAAAAAACCTATGCTCAACAGTAGGATTTCTGACTGGCTGTCAACTAAGGAAACACCTCCAGAGTTATCGTCAAGAAGAGAGTGTGTGTTCGGCGAGTCTTGGCCTACACCTGCCGATATAAAGGAGATGTCTTCCAGTGACCTGTCTGGAAAGGACAGAATGGATGATAATCTAGGAGGACAACTCCTGGGGAGGATGTAAAATGGGTCACATGTGGCCTAAGTGCTGTAGGCCTACACTCACCCTCCTTACTATATAGATACAGAAACTGAACGTCTGGTATAGCATTAGCATAGCATAGCATTGTTTCAAAGGCTCCTATGTGCTCTCAAGAAAGTATCAGCAACACTAGCCGAGTAAAATTTACAGCCATCTTACTTAGACACTGAACATCACGTCTTCTATTGCCCTCTCCATATGCCATTTGAGAAAATTGTTCAGTTGAAACCAAAAATACAATCAGCTGAGAAGGGCCGAAGTCTATCCATCATTTGGCAGCTTATAGTTTTGTTATTGAAAATTCTTTCCACAGTAAGGTTATTTCAAAAACTTCTATTATCTTGAAATCAAGGCCTTTTTTATTTAAGTTATCCAATCATTTCACGTTGTTTTGCCTTGAAGACAGTAAATAGCTGCACGAAATGCGTGGCAACTATAACGGCAACAGAGATAACGTAACATTCAAATACAAAAATTACAATTCTCTTACTGAATAATACACGTCCCGAATTTGTTGCAACCTTAGTAAAGGTGAATTGAATGAATTGAATCATTCATTGTGAGTGATTACAAATGAAACTATATTGAAACTCAATGGGTTTTACAGCCGGTTGTGAGAATGGTTGTTCTGGTCATGGTCAGTGTACTCTTGAAGAAGGCCTCTACAAGTGTGTTTGCATTCAGGGATGGGCTGGATCTGATTGCAGTATATCCTTGGAACAGGACTGTCAGGATGATTTAGACAACGATAATGGTGAGTAATATTGGTGTAGCATGTGAACTGAACTGAAAACTTACGAAAAATATTTTTCGTTTCGTTTCAAAGAAAGGTTTTGACTTGTACTTTCCCATCTTCATACGTAAAATGTAGGGAAGTTTCAAAGGAATAATGATAATAATGATAATATGCTTTATTGCCCAAAGAACCGTAGGTCTCATTGACAAAGCTGCAAATTTTGTTCGGTCTCCCTACAACGATATTCAGAATAATAAAAATTCAGTATACCATACCATACAGTATACAAGTAATACCATAAAATAAATCAGAGAGAACTGTCCTCATAAATATAAACAATCAAAGGGTCCATCACAACGTAAATCTTTTCCTAATTTCCGAAATTCACAGTTATCGTCTGAAATTTCCATATGGCAAGGTCGAAGATTGAAAATGTTGAAACCATTATAATATATAGAGTCTTTGACTGAAGTAGTATCTGTTATGGGTAATCTTTTGGGTCATTAGCTTGACGATGGGCATAATTATTGGATTAATAAATTTTCACCTCAAAAAATTCTGAATTATTTCAGCTTTCAGTCATCTCGTCTGCGACCGTTGTTGTTAATGGTATGTTGTCAATAAAGCAGCGAAATAACATTGAGTTTGTATATGTATATCAAAAAAAGTATCGGGCCCAGTATTGAAACTTGTGGCATACCTCAGAAAGTATTATTCAATTTCAAAATGAAATATTCATGAAAATATATAGATCATGCAGAGAACTAACTTTCAGACACTAACTAAAAGAAGAAACCTCTCGCAGTGACTTCTTCCATATAAACATTGAATTACAGAAAAGAAAAATGAATTTAAATTGATGTACGTAACCCTTATTATGTCATGAAAGATCTTCTAATACCACGTGTATTTGTAACTAATATTACTGCAGTTCCGTCCGTCAATAAAAAATAATTTGTATTCGTTTCAAACTACAATATAATTCATTTGTTCATTGTAATATTTATTATAGTCGTTTTGAAAAGTTCGTATAGAACGAAACTGCAGTAACGTTGGTTACAAATACAAGTGGGAAGTTTTATTTCCCAATTTTCATAAAAATCAATTTTGAAACAGCTACTTCCATATGAACAATGAATTATGAAAAAACTAATTGTTCTATCCAGTTTGGAATGCGAGTGTTTGGAGCACGAACTGTAGAAGAAAATGTGTTTTTGTATAATTCAACGTTGATATGAAAGTAATAATTGGTTCGAGAGTGTGCTTTATCTTCCAGTTCGTGTGTTAAAGTTACCGCTTTCCATAATCTACACATCTCTGTAAAGAGAGTTCATTTTCAAATCAATTGTTTTTTTCCGTCGTCTGGAAGTTTTCCACATTTTTTGTATGGAAATGGAAAAGAAAAAAACCAAAACCTTTCTTGGAAGATCACTTTCCTGCATCTATTCCAATACAGATAACGATAGAGATCCAATCATAACATCATTGGTTCAATTCGAATAGAAAAAACAATGTCAAAGATCAATATGCCTTTGTTTGAAGGTGGTTGACAATGTTTCGTGGTGCACTTCATTAGTTCGGACTTCCATTGTCTAATGTGGTATAAATTGATAAAAAATAACAATTATATTAAGCAAGTAAAAACTGGAATTACAGTGAACTATAATACAAGCTCTCTCCGCTTCATCGATTTCAGTGGGAGCTGGCCGTTTAGCGGGAGTAAGTCATGTTCCGCTTGATTAGAGGTTTCCATATGTTGCGTATCTATACGCTAGCTTGGCTAAATGCGTTGTTGGGCAACATATATGCGGCTTCCTTGAATTTTCTCTTGAACCAGTGTTCCTTCTTGTGAATGATTTCAGCTTGATGTCATGTTGATGAGTCCAAACATGCTCTGCTATTCTTGATTTGCTGGTTTCTCCTCGCTGTGTGTGTTTTTTGTGCTCAGCAGTGCGAACTTTCAATGGCCTCTAAGTTTCACCGATGTATGATTCTCCGCACCCACAGGGTATTCGGTGAATGCAATTCTTGGAATCGCACTCCGCGTTTGGTGGCCTGGTTTTCGTGAGACTGCTATGGATAGTGTTTCTAGATCTGAAGCAGGTTCTGATCTTAAACTTGGACCCGATTCTTCTTATTCTTTTTGAAAATCCTCTGATGTAGGGAAGTAAAAGTACTGGTTGTGGCGGCTTCTCTTCCTTGTGAGGCTCTTGCTGTCTCCTAGCTGAAGTCTGTCTCACCATCACTTTGTAGTAACCATTCCATTGAAGGTCGTTTTTGATGATGCCTAGTTCTTTTTCGAGACCTTCATTTTCATTACAGAGCCCGAAAGCACGGTCCATTAGAGTCTTGATGATTCCTCTCTCAGTCGATTAATAGTGGTTGGACTCCTGGTTCGGATACTGTCCCGTGCCAGTTGGTTTTCGGTATACAGATGTTTTCCATCTAGTGCGGATCCTCTCCACCAATACGTCTAAGAATGGCAATTTTTATGGACTTCCTTCTCCATTGTGAATATGATGGAAGGGCTTACGTTCCTGATGTGCTTCAGGAAGGTGTCTACGTCTGCATTCTCATGGTTCCATATAATGAAGGTGTCGTCCACGTGTCTCAACCAGACTCGGGGTTTCTTGTGGGCTTCTTCAATGGCTCCACTCCATATATATTTTGGCTATAACCGGTGAATGTGGCGACCCCATTGACAGTCCTTCATCTTGCGTAAAGAATTCGTCCGTCAGTTGGAAGTAGCAGTTTCGTACACAGCATCCTAGTAATTCCATGCTAACTCCAACAATGGAAGTCCGAACTACAATATGCCTATTATTGAAAAAACAGCATGCTGACCACCTCAACTATATCACTGTATATAATAAATTCATATCTTTCAGACGGAATGATCGATTGTTCCGACAGTGAATGTTGTTCCCACCCCAGTTGCTCCGACCATATAATGTGTATCTCTAGCAACGATCCTGTAGAAGTCCTGCTGAGGAAGCAGCCTCCTTCAGTCACGGCTTCCTTCTATCAACGGGTCAAATTCCTGATCGAGGAAAATTCAGTACAATCCTACGCACACATGGATGAGTATACGGAGAGGTGAGTAGGTCTTTCGAAAATTTCCGTAAGCTTAATATTGAGTGATGTGTTATGGTACTTCCATCAGGAAGAAACGTCGGATATTCGGCATGAACTGGAGAAAGTGTTTCATCAAGCTTAAAGGTTTTCCGAAGTACTTTGAAGATCCTTGTAAAGAAAATGAAGGTGCAATAGAAGTTTTTTTATGAATGTTCAAGTAATGCTTTAGCGTTTCCTTCATACTCTGGGAATGGTTCTAATTCGATATGGGTAACAATACCTATGAATTTCATGAGTCCCAACTGCTTTTCATTCGAGATTCAGTCTTTAAGAGAAATGATATAATCAGTATCATCCTAGAGATCGAGAATTCTGGCCATACACTTGTCGAGTTATCAATTATAGAGTCTCAAGATGTCACAAATTTTAAATTATTCATTTATTCATTTACGGCATTGGATATTTCTACAAAATAATCCCCAAATTTAGACATATGTTTTGTAATAACAATTTGTAACTATCAGCTGGATGCAGAGACAATTAAAAATTACAATCTTCTCACAGACATTCTTAACGATATCAGAGAAGAATGAAAAATTTCTGAATCCACAATATGAGTGTTTGCAGCTCTCAAAATTCTACCTACAAACTCGTTTTGGCCATAGACTATATGACAAAAGGGTACTTTGAAGGTTTTTCTGTTTTATAGGCTCAACAAATTTTGGAGATCTATTGAGATCATTTGTTATCTTGTGAATTAGTGTAAGATCTGATTCTTATCTTCTATGAGCCAGAGTATTCAAGTTCATACTTGATTTGAACACTTCCAAGTTTTGTTTTTCAATATTTACATTATACAATGTGGAACTGGAATAAATTCAGTAGAATTGTAGCAGAATGTTTCTTGCAAAATTCCTGAGACAGGTCGATTTTGTTTTCAAGAGAGATACATTTCTACATTCTAATGAACCAAATTACATGCATCCCTTACATAGGGTAGCTACCCCCTAAATTTTTTTAAATAGCAATAAGGGTTGATTTGTATTAAATTTTAAAGACATATTATTCCTCTAAACAGCAGTGCTCGATTTTTAAAATTTCGTCGATTAGTTTCCGAGATACTATCAATTTAATAATTTGCATAAAAAATTAGCATTTTTCAAATTATCCTCATGTCTTAT